CGCGGGCGCGGCGCGCGGGCACCCTCGTCTCCGTGGCCATCGGCGCGGCGGCTTCGGCGCCCCAAGCTCTACCAGGTTAGTGCAGTGACGCCAGGCAAAGTTCTTTCCTTCCTTCCTTCCTTCCTTCCCTTTTCCTTCTGTTCCTTCTTTCCTCTTTCGCTCTTTCCTTCTTTCCTTCTTTCGCTTTTCCTTTTCCTTCTTCCTTCTTCTTCTTTCCTCTATCTTTCCTCTTTCCCTTCTTTCCTTCTTTCCCTTCTTTCCTTCTTCCTTCCTTCCTTACCTTCTTCCTCTTCCTTCCTTCCTTTCCTTCTTCCTTCTTCCTTTCCCTTCCGTCTCCTTCCTTCCTGTCCTCTCCTTCCTTCCTTCCTTCTTCCTTCCTTCCTTCCTTCCTCTTCCTTCCTTCCTTCCTTCCTTCTTCCTTCTTTCCTTCTTTCCCTTTCTTCTGTCCTTCTTTCCCTTCTTTCCTTCTTTCCTTCTTTCCTTTTCCTTCTTTCCTTCTTCCTTTCTTTCTTCTTTCCTTCTTTCTTTTTCCTTCTTTCCCTTCTTTCTCCTTCTTCTCCTTTGCTTGTCCTTCTTTCCTTCTTTCCTCTTTCCTTCTTCTCCTTCTTCCTTCTTTCTTCTTTTGCCTTCTTCCTTTCTCTTTCCGATTCTTTCCTTCTTTCCTTCTTCTTCTTTCCTTCTTGTCCTTCTTTCATTCTTTCCTTCTTTCCTCTTCCTTTCCTTCTTTCTTCTTCTTTTCCTTCCTTTCCTTCTTTCCTTCTTTCTTCTTTCCTTCTTTCCTTCTTTCCTTTCTTTCCTTCCTTTCCTTCTTTCCTTTCTTTCCTTCTTCCTTCTTTCCTTCTTTCCTTCTTTCCTTCTTTCCTTCTTTCCTTCTTTCCTTCTTTCCTTCTTTCTCCTTCTTTCCTTTTTCCTTCTTTCCTTCTTTCCTTCTTTCCTCTTCTTTCCTTCTTTCCTTCTTTCCCTTCGTTTCCTTCTTTCCTTCTTTCCTTCTTTCCTCTTTCCTTCTTTCCTTCTTTCCTTCTTTCCTTCCCTCCATTTTTTTCTTCTTTCCTTCTTTCCTTCTTTCCTCTTTCATACATCAAATGATATTTGCGTTATCCATTTCAAATACATAGAGCACCAATCCATTTGAAAAAAGAAAGAATATGAGCTTTTTGCTTAGCAAATAGAGTGAGCGTTTCCTAAAAAATGCTAAATTTCGAGCACATTTTGACCAAGAAAAATTTTTAATTTTTTGAAGAACTTCATAAAACAATCTTTTGAACACATGTACTCACAGATGTAATACAATGCTATACAAATCGCTCAGTGATGTAGTATTAAACACGTGAGAAATATAAAGAATTTATATCAGTTAATTTTTTTGAAAGCACTAAAGAATTTAGCAAAAAGGTGGTTTATTTCATCTTTGTTGCATTTAGTGCTATCCATATAAAAATATGCAGAAATTTGAACCCGTTTGAAAGAATCTTTTTTTTAAATATTATTTTAGAATTGTTCACATTTTACAAAACAATCAACTTTAGAAAACTTTATTAAATTTTCAACAAAAAATTTACAATTAATGAATTTGGAGAACATTTTCATTTGTACGTATGTATACGAGAAATAGAAGTGGAGTTCTAACACAGCTCACGGTTGAAGACCTGGAATAATAATGCTAGAGCGAAAGTTGGCCACTGTCGCGACCTCAAACCTCTCAGTGAATGACACTAGCACACCACTAGGTGAACGACTGGCTTGTTACTACTCCTCACCTATATGTTTTTTTTCCCTTCGGAATCTATAAATGTTGGTCTGCCACTGCGCATAATATATCATATAGGTCCCATGGGGAATGTTTCCTAATACTAGCGTAAGGTAGACTGCCGGTTGCCGGTTTTTTATCATACTTTATTTGAGGGAAGCGGTAGTCCATGTATTCCCGCCCTGCCGCGGAGCATACTTGTGACTTTCTATTAAATCCCCGCCCATTTTCCAACCTCCCTCTGCTTGCTTCCCACATGTATTCCTCCACTTCACTGATACTAAAAATTGTTGTAGATGTTATTTAAATTGGGGCTCACGCCTCAAAATTTAACTTTTACATTATAACTAAAAAATAATTAAAAAAATTAAACAAAAAATGAAATATATTCAACTTTTGATTCTTCTCCTACTTTCAAATGCAGTTTACATTGTAAAACTTTTTTTCTTTCATATTTTTTTCATCTAGGTATTTATAAAGGAAAGTGTGAAATTGACTCTTTGACCCATCGAAGCAATGGAAATATAAATATTATTGCTTTTAAATTCGAATTCGTGTTCATTTTTAGAGTATCCTTGACTAAATAGTGGTGACGGAAGGGTGCCAGTAACCATTTAGACAAATTATAATATCTTCCAAAAAATCGAGATCACACAGAGGATAGCCGGCTTTACCAAAGTTTTTTTCTGTTACATAAAAGTTCTTTTGCTCTATTTTCAACAACCCCTTGAAAACAGCGATTGACACATTGCTATCATCTGAGACTTAAACTCACCTATAATTCGATGGAATAATCAGATATATCGGACAAATTTACAGTCCTTTCATATTCACAGCTATTCCTGTCAAATTCTTCTAAACACCGCGAAAACAAATTACCCAAGATCGTAGAGGTAACGGATATAACGAAAAATAACTCAGAATTCAGAATTTCAAAACGTCCTCTATTGGATTAGCGTGGTAACCATCTGGAGGAGTTGGTCAGGAATCTAACCATCTAAAGAAGTTTTGAGAACGTTTTACGGATAATAATGAATAATAATTCGAGTTACGGCCTTCTTCCACACCCAAACCTAAATTAATTGCAACGTACTATGAAAGATCAAAGTCTATATAGCTTATGCACCTTGGATCCCTGCACCTTTTAGACCTCTGCACGAGAAGGTACACAAGAGTCAATAAAAAATAAGAACTAATTCTCCAATAGGAGCGGTGGGTCTTGTCACATTGCTGTAGATTACGGGTTAAGAAACATCTGCTTGTAACTGGCGATGCCAAGACATTTGAAGGTTAAGGACGAATCATTGTTCGAGTTATGCTCATGAATCTGTGGAGGTACAACGTTACCGTGAGTTAGGAGACTGTATGTGAGGCTTGCTCATTTCTTCGCAAATATACAAAATTCTACATATTTCGACTCGAGCTTCCTATACATATTGAATATTTGTGTTCAGAGAGGTTTATTATACTGAACAAAAATGTTTATTTCCTGAGCATACTGAATAGCCAGACACACATTTAAAGACATATAATGTGACAACTTTTTAAAGTTCAGAGTTTACATTGTCCCCATTTATTGTTATCTACTTACAAATACTGCTAATGATTCTTTAAAGTTACTTTCGAATTCCTAAGGTCGAGTATGCAATGTACCGAAATAATGAAATCTTTAGTGATGCACTCCATTTTTTTTTTATTGTTTCGAGTTTAAGATCTCTGATAGCATTGAAAACTGGCCACTTTTTTGCCTATCTCTGTTAAGTGATCACGACAATTCACTGATTTTTTTTAACTCTTAGATAAGACTTTAAATAGTATAGTATAGAAATTAAGAATAAGGATGATCGAGAACGAAGTAATGATCAGCAAGACTCTTACATGTACGTTTGCAGTAATTAACTGCATTTATGAGCCATTTCATTGTCTCGTGATTACGTAAGCGATCGGACACAAAATGCTGAACTCGGTTTGTACGTGTATAAGTGAAAACCTACAATTAACTTATTTTTGAATTTTAACAATACTTATGAAGTAAATGAATCCGGCTCACCAATAGGCAGTTCGCGGAGAATTTAGTTTTTATCGTACATTCTAATACTGTACACATCCTTTTTAGAGATATTACGATATTCAGTGGTTCACAATATATTTGAAGAATTCCTGTAATCCCTTATAAATATAAAAAGTACTTCAGATATCCACTGAAGTAGAGTAAATAGTTATTTCTTATGCTAGTGGTATAAAAATCGCATACCCATCGTGTTCACACAGTATTTTTATATAGCTTTATTGACTTCTTCTTTTACTTTAATTCAAGTACATAAATTAATGGGTTCAAATTTCACTGATTTATCCAGAAATCTTGCTCGGCATTGTCTTACCAACTTTTAGCACTAATCTAAAAATTAAATTTTTAACATGCTACGATGTCCCTCAAAGAACGCTTTTACTAGGAGATTAGCTAAAAAATAAACTTTTGGGCCTGAATGCCTGTATTAGTACCGAGTCGACTCGAGGGCACGAGATCGGTGGACGAAGCGACGAAGGGGTGCAAGAGGGAGGGCATTCTGTAAACATAGCCCACACGCAAACTGCAGGCCCAGGCCTACTCGAAATAGAAATATACGATATAAAACTAAGAATGTGTTTATTCTATATGCAATTGTTCATGGAGTGCAAGTGTAGGTAATGATGTAGTACGGTGCAGGACAATACAATACCTATTCCTTTCAAAAGAAATTTCTTTAAACGCAAGGGTGGTTTATTAAACGCGCGTGAAAGTCGAAATGAAGAGTAGGAGGGGCGAACTAATTCGGCGAGTTGCGAAGGCTCGGAAAGGACCTCACGCACACAGCATGTTGGACGCGACGGGTAGCCACCAACATTGTATTCAAAATACGTTGTTTGTAAGAATTCGCTTTGTTTATAAAATTTGAACAACTCTTGAAAAATATATTACAAACGACAAGGTTTTTCATCACACAACGTTACTTCACGCGCAGTGGTGAATGTCGTTCACCAAGTTTCTCGCGGAGTGAAGCCGATTCGTCATGTTCGTGCGCTAGGGATGCAGATAATTTTAATAATCTGCAGTTTTTAGGTCACTTTCACGTGAACGATACAGCCTAAACCATTATTTCACGGATGTTCATTATTGACAATTTCCCACCACTTGATCCACATCACGTCTTTGGTATTGGACGTAACCCA